GCCAACTGGTTGCAGTCTGGGAAATGGAGCACAGTCTTGGACATCAATGTGCATGTACCCATGCTACTTAATTAGCTGAGATGGTCCGAAAAAGAAAATAAAAGTTGACCTGGAGACATTAAGATTTGCCTAGTCTGTACATTTCAGGGCAAAAGCGTCCTGCCAGACATTATGACCTATTCTAAAAGTAGAATGATAAGAATGATTTGCTGTTGGCACAGACTGGGACAGAGTTCAAGGGAGCTTACAGAAGACGAGAACACTGATGGATTTAATGGGTGACAACAACTGGCCCCTCAAAAGTGTTGGAGAGAGGACAATTTACTCAACAAATGATACTATTTTGACATTGGCTGGGGGTGGGTGGAGTGAAGAGGAACACAAGGTCGTCCCACATACCTGAACGATTTCAAATGTACCAAAGATTTAAATGCAAGCAACGCAATCAGGATGCATGGTTGCAATGTTTCTATGATTTCAGCATGGGGAAGTCCAGAAGCTTTAATTAGAAGGACACAACACTCACAGCCAGGAGGGAACAGATTGATACACGTAACTATCTGTTAATGTGAAACTTTAGCACATAGAAGGACCGCTGATTGGAGAAGAGTTCGAATATGACGACGTATATTGAAGTTATCATGAGTAAGGATAAGAATAAATCAAATTACAATTCCAAAGATACAGTAATTCAAAGAGTTTAAGTTGAAGAAATATATGAACAGAATGATACCATTTCTGTGTTAGAAAAAGAGAGGAAAAATCCATGAAAGTAAATGTGCAACTACACATACAAGAATTTTGATCTGCAGAAATATATGGAGACACTCTTAAATATTAGCAGTGATTAACTCAGATAATAGGCTAGAGAAAGATCAGGGGATCTAATTAGGCTCTGTGTGCTTTTGCAATGATCGGACACTTACAAAATTCTATTTGTGAACCCCTCATGTAGCTAAATAATATACAAATCAACCTGCATCTTATAGCATAGTATAAAAATCTTAAAGATAAATCTGACTAGTGAAAATAAGGCAAAAATAGAAACGTCGGAATAAAGTTCAGTTCATAGTACTAGGGCTTCATTTTATATTGTCATATCACTGAAAATCTATTTTAGAATTCCAATAGAAAAAGGAAGAAAGCATATAAGAAATAAAGAAATACAGAGATGAAAAAGTTGAATCTCACTGAGAACCGAAGAAATGCAAATTAAAATAAGATATGATTTGGTAGCCATCACCTATAAAGTTCTGAACAATATTAGAAGGATAAAAGGTTACTGAACCTGGATAGTTTGTACCTGCAGGATTGGCTGAAGCGGGAGGATAGCTACCTGCAAAAATAAATTTGAATCAATGCACCAGCCTTATCAATACAAAAGTATGCATTTCATTTTTTTGTTTGATTTAGGAAAAGACTGATTGTTTCTCAAATGAAAAATCTACATACACTCAGAACATTGCAATTCTACTCCCAGGAATTCAGTCTAAATATATATTTCCACATGTAGGTGAGGATATATGCATAAAATATACAACACAACCTTGTGGTTTATAGTGGAAATCCTAGTAGTCAACTATAAATCATAAAACTTAGTGTTGTCTGCATTTTTCACATAGTATTATGTTACAGAATTTGTGTCTTTTTGTGTTTGACATGTTATGTCTTGGACATGTTTTTATATTTGCACATTTTATCCTGACGTAACAGTATGTTGCTCCTGGTGCTTTTGGTATAGTCTTCCTCAAACTGATGATAATAAATGATTAACAGTCCCAGAAGGATATTTGCTTTTAATTTTTGTGTTTATCCTAGTTGTTTCTTCCCTTCATGGGCTTTTTCCCTCAAACAGTTCACCCCTACTTCAAATCTAAAGGTTATGAATTTTTTCTAAATTTTTAGGGAGCGTTTATGGTCAACAGTTTCAAACAGCACATTAACAATCATTGTATAGCATATTGCATATTCTCACTAGCACCCTCTGACTAAACAGGGATGGGTCAATGAGTATAACTTTATATGCAGTCTTTACATATTGTCCAACAGAGATAATCTCTTTCCCTCCAAATCTTCAGAGCCCTCACCTCACCAATATACTGTAGTCGGTTACTGGGTACTAGCTTTACAGCAGTTCTAAAAAGGTGCTCTAATTACCATGTTAAGATGAATAATTCCCCTCAGTCCTTTAAATTATTAGGACAACAGAAAAAAGACAGAGTAGAAGCCAGTCTTTGAGCTTTGAGTTTCACATCTTCATTAAAGAGGACACTAGAGCCGACAGAAATGATGTTACTTGAGTGAGCAGAGCCTCCCTAGCACCCTGAGTACCTTCTGCCCAGGCTCATGCTCTACCCATTCTTGCTCTTGTCTCTTGTTTCTGCTGCTGTAAAGAGAAGCCAGAGGTTGCAGCCCTGAAATCAGGAATATAATTCCTTCCATCATATCAAAATAGTCTCTCAATACGTAAGCAGAGCAGCTGATCAGCAGTCCCGGCCAGAAATCACCCACTTCATTTCAGTAAATAAAGGCTTTTCCTGACTTTCAGTGGCTATGAGATTTACCCTCTGTGCCAAATAAGAATAACCAGTATAAAGAAATATAATAACTCCAGGAGGTGTAGAATAGTGCAGGTGGCAGAAATATTGGTCTTATTTGGGTGACAAAGGCAATTCCCAGTTTGTAAAACGAAGCAAACTTATTGCAGTCTTGGAAATCACCCATAGTCTTGGACCTGAATTTGAATGTACTCAGTGCTACTTAATTAGCTGACATGGTAAGGAAAAGAAAATAAAAGTTGACCTGGAAACATTAACATGAGCATAGCCTGTACACCTCTGAATAGGAAGCATTCTCCCAGACAGTAAAACATATTATAGTACTTGAGTTAAGAAAATGATTTGGTGTTGGCACAGACAGGGACAGAGTTCAAGAGAGCCTATAGAAGACTAGAATGCCTATGGATTTAACGGCGACAAACCTGGCCCTTCAAAACAGTTGGAGAGAGATAATGTATTCAACAAATGATACTACTTTGCCATTGGCTGGGGGTGGGTGGAGTGAAGAGGAACACAAAGTCGTTCAACATACCTTAACGATTTCAAATGTACCAAAGATTTAAATGCAAACCATACATTCAAGATGCATGGTTGCAATGTTTCTATGATTTATATGTCTTTTATAAGAAAGACAAAACACTCACAGGCATTAGGAAAAAGATTGATACATCCAAGTGCTTCTTAATGTAAAATTTTTGCACGTATAAATGACCACTGATTGTAGTATATTTAAATAAGTTATGATGACATGTATTAAAGTCACTGTGAATAAGGATAAGAGTAAATTAAAATACAGTTCCAAACGACATTAAATTCAAAAAGTGTGTAATTTTCATAAAAATAAGAACAGAATGATACCATTTCTGCAAAAGAAGAAAAAGAGGAAAAAACCCATCAAAGTAAATGTATAACTAGACATATAAGGATTTTTATCTTCAGAAGTATATAGAGGCATTCTAAACTATTATCAGTGATTAACACAGGTAATAGGCTATGGAATGATAAGGGGAAATAATTTTACTCTGTGTACTTTTGTAATGTTCGAAAACTTACAAGTATGTACTTGTGTACTCATGTAATAAAAATTTATAAAAGGCAATCTACATCTAAAAGTATAGTATAAAAACCTAAAAAATTCTAACTACTGAAAATAAGTCAAAAATATATCTGATAAAGTTCATTTCATGTTAAAAGGGCTTTAATATATAAGTTGAAATCAATAAGGAAAATAATTTAGATTCCTAATGAAAAAGGAAGAAAGAATACAATAAATAGATACAGATAAGAAAAAGTTCAATCTCACTGATAATTAGAGAAACACAAATTAAAATAAGACATGATTTTGTACCCATCACCTTATAAAGTTCTTAACAATATAAGAAGGATAAAGGATTACTAAACCTGGATAGTTTGGAACTGGAGGCTGGGTTGCAGAGTGAGGCTTGTAACCTGCAAAAAATAAATTTGACTCAATGCATCAGCCTTATCAATACAAAATTATGTATTTCATTTTTTTTGTTTTAGAAAAAGATTGATTATTTCTCAAATAAAAAATACACATACACTCAGATGTTTGCAAGTCTACTCCTTGGAATTCAGTCTAGATATATATTTGCACAAGTAGATAAGGATGTATGCATAAAATGTACAACACAACTTTGTATTTTATAATGGAAATCCCTGTAGTCAACTATAAATGATAAAACTTAGTGTTCTTTAAATGGCTCAAGTAGCATTATATTCCATAATTTGTATGTTTTTCTTGTTGGCATAGTATTGCTTGGACTTTTTTCATATTAGCATATTTGAATCTGATTTATACCATTTATGTTGCTACTGTGCTTTTCGTATAGTCTTCCTCAAAGTGATATTAAAAATATGATTAACAATCCCATAAGGAGAGTTGATTTTGATTTTTTAAAAAATCCCAGTAGTTTCTTCTCTTCATAAGCTTTTTCTCACAAACAATTCACCTCTTCTTCAAACACTGAAGTGTATCAATGTTTTCTAAGTCCTCAATAAGTGTTTATGTTCCACACTTTCAAAACAAACATAGTATATCATAGTGCATATTTAAAACATCAAGTCAACAAAAATAGTGTATCATAGTGCATATTCTCAACGGGACTCTGTGACTACACAGGGATGGGTCAGTGAGTATAACTTCATATGCAGTCTTTATAGATCGTCCAAAAAATATCATCTCTTTCCCCCTGAATCTTCACAGCCCTCACCTCACCATGGTACTCCAGGCGGATACGGGTACCAGCTTTAGAGCAGTTCTAAAAAGGTGCTCTAATTACCATGTTAACATGAATAATTCCCCTCAAGCCTTTAAAATGTTAGGACAACTGAAAAAAGACAAACAGATTAGAAGCCAGTCATTGAGCTTTGACTTCCACAGCTTCATTAAACAGGAAACTAGAGCCCACAGAAGTGATGTTACTTGAGTGAGCCGAGCCTCCCTAGCATCCTGAGCACCCTCTGCCCAGGCTCGTGCTCTACCCATTCTTGCTCTTGTCTCTTGCTTCTGCTGCTGTAAAGAGAAGCCAGAGGTGGCAGCCCTGAAATCAGGAATATAATTCCTTCCATCATATCAAAATAGTCTCTCAAGACTTAAGCAGAGCAGCTGATCAGTAGTCTTAGCCAGAAATCACCCACTTCATTTCAATAAATAAAGACTTTTCCTGCCTTTCAGTGGCTATGAGATTTCCTTTCTGTTGCCAAATAAGAATGTCCAGGAGAGAGAAAAATTATAAATCTCTGATATGTAGAATAGAGAGGTTGATGGAAATACTGGCCTTACTCTGGTGATAACAGAGATTTCCCAGTTTGTAAAATGAAGCAAACTGGTTCCAGTCTGGGAAATGAACCATAATCCTGGACCTGAAAAATACCCTGTAAAGCAGATGCTGTAAGTCATGGGAGCTACCTTAAGAGCTTTCTAGATGCTAGGTACTGTGCTAAGTGCTTTAAATGCACCACATTTTAACTTTGCTATTACAGGTATTAAATCACTCTGTACTCAGATGTAAGGTTTACATAGTTTGCCCATGTTTACTTACTGTTGGTATCTGAACTATGGCAAATACTTTTAGAATTACTAAGTATCACAACTAAAATGACTGTAAGTATATTCTTCATCTCTTTGGTACTGTAAATGATGACTGTTCATCCCATGAATTTAAAAAATGTTTTGTAAACTATAAATAGAAGATTACTGTACCTGAGAAAATAAACAAGACAACA